ACGGGTCTCCGCGAAGGAGCTGGCTAGCGAGAACAAGTTGACTTTAGTTAGGGAAGGCTGCTCCAGGGGAGGCGGCATTTGATTTGGCCTTGCAAGGGCTCCACGTCTCCCTCGGAACCAGGCACAGTGCTCTGCACCCAGGCTTAGACTCATAAAGGACCCTAAATTACCAGCTGGTTCAAGTCCTCGGTTTTACAGAGGAGGAAACTGAGGCCCAGAGACATGTTGGGCGACTTGCCTAAGGTGATACAGGCAGTAATACGGGACAGCAAAGTCCGTATCATCGTTGGTTAAAGGAGCGACGAGATTGGGTATATGCCATCCCGGCTGGGGGAAACAGAAACATGAACACGGAAAATAACATGTCAGCTTGGAATCGGGAAAACCCGAGTTCAAATCCAGGCTCAGACACTAGCTGGGTGGCCCTGGGCAGGTCACTTAACCTCTGTTTGCCTCTGTTTACTCATCTGTAAAATGTGAAGAAGAAGAACGCCAGCCTCCCTAGGTTATTGTGAGGGTCAAGTGAGATGATGCTTGAGGAGTGCATAGCACAGTGCCTGGTGCACAGGCAGCACTGTACAAATGTTTGCTGCTGTTATCTTTATCACCATTCTTGAGACAGAGCTCATTATGGCCATTGCCGTAAGCTGCCTGAAGGCTGGGACTTTCTCATTCCTGTCTTCATATCTCCAGTGTTTAACACAGTACTCAGCACACCAGTCCTTAATAATAACAACAACAACAGTTATATATCACTGGAAGGTTTGCAAAGTGTTTTACAGATATCTTATTTTTATCTTCATGGGTAGATGCTATTGTTATCCCCATTTTACTCTTGAGGAAACTGAGGCAGATAGGTTAAGTGACTTGCCCCCGGGTCTGAGGTGGGATTTTTGAAGTCTTCCTGACTCCAGATCCAGAGCTTTATCCATTGTACCACTTGCTTTACCTTATAAATGCTTGTTAATTGATAAACAGGGGATGGAAGGTAGTCTGGTTGGGCTAGAGCACGGAGTTCACAGAGGGGAGTAACATGAGATCTGATGGGAAGCTGGGTGGTACCAGATTAGGGAGGGCCTGGAACGCTAGGGTAAAGATTTTTAATTTGCTTCAGTAGGAAATAGGGAGCCAAGGAAAAGTTTTGAGCAGAGGAGGGAACATGACGATGTGATCATCCAGATCCCTGAGCAAATGTAACTAACTCATATAAATTTTAACTTAGCAAAATGCTTTTACATCGTCCTCATTTGGTACTTAAGACACTTCTGTGAAGGCCGGGCAGGTGTTGTACATCCATTTATTGTACATCCATTTTATAGATGAGGAAACTGAGGCCCAGGGGTGAGGGCAGTTGCCCAAAGTCACACAATAAATTTGTGACTGAGACCTTAAACTAAACTGCCTTGAATACCAGGCCTAGGCCATTTGTCCTTTCCTTCTACATTTATTTGAGTAAATGCATTCTCCATCCCCTGCCCCCAAACCCCTTCCAACCATCTGTTTACCATCTCTTCTTGCAAGTGAAAAAAAAAACTCCCAAAGAGAATTGAAGAAAGCCCGGAAACCCCAATCTGGGGAAGCCATCTTCAAAACCAGAATCTCGGAGATCATCTGGTGTCATTTCAAGCGCCCTTTTGTTAGCTGACATCTCAGAGCTGAAAACACTCTTAAAACCTCGGCCAAGAAGGGATTTTAGAATGAGGAAGGTCAGCGCTGGGAAGGGTCCCGGCCATAACAGACAAGACACAGTGATAGCTTGCCTTTATGCAGCACTGTAAAGCTTCTCACAACAATGCTATGAACTAGAGAGTGTAAATATAATTCTGACTTTAAAATTGAGAAATGTGCTCAGAGAGTCGTCTTAGGTCACACAGCTTGTTTGTAGCAGAGCTGGTTCCCATCAGTCTCATCACTAGAGTCTAATGCTTTTCTACCATACTATAGTGCCTGGTTGGCCAATAGTAGATAGGGTTTTCTGGCTCCCTCTGGATGACCCACCCTCCCTGGCCATCCCTTTCCAGCACTGGCTGCCCTTCCACTCATTCCCCCCAACTCACTGGTTGAGGTGGGAGTAGGTTTGGAATACTCCTTACTCCCCATTGCCACTTCCAGGTTCTTCCTCCTACCACCATCACTCAGTTACTTCTCTTTTAAGGTTCACTCAAATCTGTGCCTGCCCCTCAGTCAAAATTCTAGTAGCTTCCTCTTCTCCCCTCTTCCTCATCTCCTATCAGGGAGATGCCTCCTGCCACCATCTCTACCACCGCAGTCTCTCATGAAGAGGTGCTCCTTATCCTTACCAATGCTAACCATTCCACGTGCACAAATGATTCCAAGTCATCCTATATTTTCCAACAAATCTTCATTCTCTCCTTGCCTACTGGCTACTTCCCTATAAACATGCCCACGTCTCCCCTATGCTGGAAAACCCCTCACTAGATCCTTCATCCCCACTAGCCATCATCCCATACCTCATCTCCCTTTGTGGCTCAGCTGCTTGAGAAGGCTGCCTATGACAAGCAGCCCCTTTCCTTTCCTTTTGTTTCCTCAGTTCTCTGCAGTCTGGCTTCCAGCCTCATCATTCCACTGAGGTGGTTGTCTCCGAAGCTACCAGTGATCTCTTAATGGCCAAGTCTAGAGGCCTTTTCTCAAACCTTTCTCCTTGACCTCTCTGCACCCTTTGACTCTGTGGCCCACCTGCTTCTCCTGGATACTCTTTAGGCTTTCAGGACACGACTCTCCTGGTTCTCCTCCCCCCATCTGACACATGCTTCCCAGTATCCTTTGTTAGATCTTCATATAGGTCACACCAGTTAGCTATTGGTGTTTCACAGGGCTCTGCCGTAGGCCCTTTCTTCTTATCCCTCTATACTATGTCACCTGGGATGCCATGGATTCAGTTGTCATCTACATGCTAATGATTCTCAAATCTACTCATACGGTTTTGATCTTTCTCCCTCTGATAGCAAATCTCCAGCTGCCTGGGAGGTCTTCTAGACATCTGAAACCCAACATGTCCAAAAAGGAATTCATCTTTCCTCTCCCCTTCTTTCTAATTTCCCTATTATTACTTTTTTCTTTGTTGTTGTTGTTGTTTGCTAGGCAATGGGGTTAAGTGACTCACCCAGGGTCACACAGCTAGTTAAGTGTCAAGTATCTGAAACTGGATTTGAACTCAGGTCCTCCTGACTCCAGGGCTGGTGCTCTACCCACTGCACCACCTAGCTTCCCCATTTTTCCTATTACTTTTGAAGGTATCACCAACCAGGCTTGCAACATAGACATCATCCTCAACTCCTCTCTGTCTCTCACCCTCCCTCTTTCCCTCTCTCCCTCCCTCAGTCTCTATCCCTGTCTCCCTCTCTCCCTCCCCTTCCCTCCCTCTCTCTCCCTCTGTCTCTATCCCTGTCTCTCTCCTTCTCCCTCTGTCTCTCATCTCTCTCTCTCTCTCTGTGTCTCTCTCTCCCTTCCCCTCTCTTTATCTCTGTCTCCTGCCCACAATAAACTCTAGTGTCTCCCTAGCACCTGACAATCTTCTGGCTTTTAAAGGTCTTTGTAACTCCCCCTCCCCTGCTTTTCCGTTCTTCCACTCCCCACACTCTTAGATCCAGTGACATTGGCCTCTGCTGTTCCTCAAACAAGACAGTCCATCTCCCAGTTCTGGGCATTTTCACTGCCTATCTCCCATGCCTGGAATGCTCTTCCTCCTCTTCATCTCTTCCTCCTGACATCTCTTCAAGCCCCAGCTAAAATTCTACCTTCTACAGGAAGCCTTTCCCGACCCCTCCTAATTCTAACGCCTTCCCTCTGTTGGTTATTTCCAATTTGTCTGGTCCATAGTTTGTTTGTACACAGATGTCTACATGGTATCTCCCTCATTAAACTGTGAGCTCCTTGAGGGCAGCTCCTTTTTTTTTTACCTCTATTTGTATTCCCAACTTAGCACAGTAGACGCTGCACACAGACACTTAATGGCCAATAAACTACCAATTAGAGTTATACTAGGGACAGTGTAGTATAGGGGGTGATCTGGACATGCAGTTAATAAGACCTGTGTTTGAATCCTGAATCTGACAGTTATTAACTGTTTTACTATGACAAATCACTTCAGCGTTCTCTGCCTTAGTTTCCTCATTTGTAAAATGGGGATAATGATACCAATAATATCTAACTCAATCAACAGGTATTTATTAAATATGTACTGTGGGCCAGGAAATAAGGATAAAAGCTTAGCACAGTGCCTGGCGCATAATAGGCCTTTGATAAATACTTATCGATTGACTGACTGAAATACAGCAAATGAAACAATTTCCACAAGAGGCTTATAAGGATTTATATGTAAATTTTATATTTGTGCTGTGTACACACACACACACACACATGAAGAAAATAAAGATGAGGTAGTTCAGTACAAGGTGCTTGGGGAGGGCACTAGCAGTTGGTAGGATCAGGAAAGGCTTCAGGTACCTTAGAATTCCATTGTGAGGCTCAAATGGGATAATTCTTGTAAACTGTTTTGCAAGCTTTCAGGCCCCGTAAAAATGTCTGCATACTGGTTGTTGTCAGCAAGTGTCAATTCAACGCTGATTCCTTGTTGGGTCCTGTAAGTCCTGCTTCAGGTGGGAAGAATTTATGGCACTGTCTTCTCCCCCCCCCCCCAACAGAGGTATCAAACATGCTGGCCAAAGGATGTATGTGACCTTGAGTGCTATGGAGACCAGGTTAAAATGTAATTAGGAAATATTTACCGAGATAAAAAATAAGAGTAGAACCTAGATGATGTGCATATGTGGTTTTCTAAGTCAATACGAAGCCTGTAGGGATCCATGGGTTAGTGGCAACAATTTCTCTTTAGACACCACCATTCTGGAAGACCCCTGTCCCTGCCCCTCTGCCATGGTGGGATGGAGGAAGTTAGGGGTACTGCTTCTCTTCCAGCCAGGGTGTCCTACCTGGAACAGGGAGGATGAACCTCTACAGGGTGTGTGTCCGTGTCTCAAGTGCCCAAAATGTATGGGGGGAGCTAGGGCTATTTCCCCTTCTTTAAATCAAAGGCTTAAAACCGTGGGATGGGACAGGGTTGAGAATACACAAATCACGGGGTTGATTCTCACCCACCTCAAGCTACCTTTGACCCTAGAACCGGGGAAAGGATCTGAGTACGATCAGTGACACGTCCCACCCCCCAAGCTGAGTCGGGGTGCTAATCCAAGAGGTTGGAGTGGCCTCGTCAATGAGGATGGATTAAGGCAGGATTGGTAAGCACCCCAAAGATTAGGCCCTAGTTGCCTTTGTAGGATGTACAAGGAAATGACGCTGGGGTTAAGGGGGAATCCTTCGGGACCTGGGTCCTGGCTCTAGCTCTGTCACTAACTCTTCCTCTCTAAGCCTCCATTTCCTCCACAGTAAAAGGAAGACTGGACTAGGGAAGCACTAGGATTCATTGAAGCTCTGACACAGTGTTCTCATGTTCTGGATTCTATTCCCAAACATTCATTAGGGACCCGTTATGTGAGGATCATTATGACAGGCATGAAGAGAAATAGAAAATTGATTTTTTTAATTAATTTATTTTTAGTTTTCAACAGTCACTTCCATAAACTTTTGAGTTTTAAAGAGATCATACAAGTGGGAAAAGGACCCACATGTACAAAAATATTTCTAGCAGCTCTTTGTGTGATGGCAAAGAATCGGAAATTGAGGCAATGCCCATCAATTAATTGGGGAATGGCTGAACAAATTGTGGTATATGAATGTAATGGGGGGCAGCTAGATGGAGCAGTAGATAGAGCACCGGCCCTGAAGTCAGGAGGACCTGAGTTCAAATCCAGCCTCAGACCAACCACTTGACATGTACTAGCTGTGTGACCCTGGGCAAGTCACGTAACCCTGACTGCCTCACTTTAAAAAAAAAAAAAAGGAATGTAATGGAATACTATTGTACTATGAGAAATGATGAGTAGGCAGACTTCAGAAAAACCTAGAAAGACTTGTATGGACTGATGCTGAGTGAAGTAAGCAGAACCAGGAGAACATTGCATACAGCAACAGCCACACTGTGCGATGACTAACTTTGATAGATTTAGCCCTTCTCAGCAATAAAGATCTAAGGCATCTCCAAAGGCCTCATGATGGAAAATGCTACCCATATCCAGAGAAAGAACTATGGAGTTTGAATGCAGATCAAAGCAGACTATTTGCTATTTTTTTTTCCTTCTGTTTTGTTTTGTTTCCTTTTTCTGGTGGTTTCTCCTATTGGTTATAATTCTTCCTTACAACATGACTAACGTAAAAATATGTTTAATAGGAATGTATATGTAGAGCCTATATCAGAATGTGTGCCATCTTGGGAGGGGAGGGGGAGAAAAATTTAAAACTTGAAAGCTTATGGAAGTGATTGCTGATAAGTCAAAATAAATTAATAAAAAAATTAAAAAAGGGTAAAAAAGAAAACTTTTGTTTTTATAGTCATATTGTAAAGAATTAGAACCAATAGGAGGAGCCACAAGAAAGAAGTTCAGGTTGATAATGACAGCTACTCTATACTTTTTTCTATAGCATTGTGATAGGTCCATTTGGTCTAATAGACCAGTCTGCTTACATATTCTGCTGATGACCAGCTCATCTGACCCTTTCACCTCCCTCCAACTCAGGGTGCTGAGGGGGAGCCCAAGGAAGCCAAAGTCCTGGCCCTCATCCAAGACTGTGATCAGAAAACAGACAACCAAGAAACTGGGAGTAAAGCCAAGAAGATGTAGGTCACACAGAAGTGTGACTCTAAGGAGCAAAGCTTTGAGGTCAGTCTAGGAAGGGTTCTTGAAGGGGGTGCATCTTGGACAAGATGGTGCTTATGGATTGGTGGAGAGGAGAGAGAAGGGCGTCCTAGGTAAGGGTAGTAGCCTGAGCAAGACACAGAGTTGGGAATGTAAACAATTGTTTTATTGTCATTTGCATGGATGTGCAGGAGACAGCAAGGTGCCCAGCCAGGCCACAGTGTGGAGAACATAAAAGAAAGCAGAGAAAGAAAAGACCGGAAAGGTAGGTTGGGGCCAGATCGTGGAACACTTTGGAGGCCAAGCTGTGGAGTGAGGGGTTTCATGCTAGAGTCTGAGGTGGGTGACTGGAGGGTCATGAGTGACAAGGCAGTGATATTTAATGGAAGTTTGTCTTCAGACACTTAATTAGCTACGTGACCCTGCGCAACTTGTTTAACCCTGATTGCCTAAAAAAAAAAAAAACTTGCTCTGGTTCTGAACAGCCTGACCCTAGGTGGATGAAGAAGGTCAGGGAACCAGTTAGGAGGTTCTCTGAGACAGTTCAGGAAAGAGAAAAGAGGGCCTGGGCACTGGAGGAGAGTGGACAGGTACCATAGAAAGAGAGGACCGGAAAGATTTGGCAACGATCCGATTGTGGGAGCACAAAGGAGAGCAAAGAGCCAGTGTTGGCTCTGGAGGATCCAGCCCTGGGACGATGTTCAGAGGCAATGGCAAAGACTGGGAAGAGCCAGCTTGAGGGAAAAGCAAATGAGCTCAGTTTGAAGTGCTGGTGGGAGCCCTCTGCCAAGGGGAAGGGAACGGGCATTTATGTAGCACGTACTTTGTGCCAGACTACGATCTTATTTGAAATAGAATATTCTAAAGCCGTTGGAGATCTCATTTGGGGAAAGCCTGAGCTACGTAGCTGAAGCCATAGGCATGGGTGAGGCGACCCTTGGGGAATGGCCATTGAGAGGCAGGAGGCAGGTAGAGAGAAGCCCATGAAGGAGTCTGCCTCGGACGGGCTGAGTGCCCAAGCTCCTCTCCCTCCTCCAGACACTGGGCCTGTCGGGCGGCAGGGGCTGGGTTCCTGACACCTCAGAAGGGAGTCAGGAGAGAGGTGGGAGGGGCGGGCCCTACCTAGCTTCAGTGACTAGTGAATGCCTCATCCCCTTGGGCCTGGGTGTCGGGGCCCTCAGGAGCCCCGACTGTGCTTGGGCTGGGAGCTCCCTGGGGGAGTGGGTAGGATGAGGAAGAGGGGGTGGGGAGAGGGTCGGGGACAAGGCTCTCTGGGCTGCTTTGAAAATGAGGAATTTGTTGTCAGCTCCTGGGCAGGGTGTGTGTGAGAGAGGCTGCCATGGGCAGGCCCCAGGCTGGGCAGACTTACCAGCCAACCTTTTGGAGCTCCAGAGGAGGAGGAGACTGGGAGGGGAGAGAGTGTGGAAGAAGCTCGACCTCACTTTCCAGGTGACCACAGGCAGGGTGGTGTGCCCTCTCCTGCCCAATTCCATTCCTGCTACCACCATTGGTGGCCACAGAAAGAACTGGACAGAGGTAATAGCTCCCAAAGATCACTCCAACCCTGTTTTTTTGGCCTGATTTGGGGAAGAGGACTTGGGAATAAAGACTCGTGAGTTGTTTTCCTGGGCCTCTGGAGTTCTCCTGACTTTGTAGGCCTTGGGGAAGGAGCTGCTGGCTGGGCGTATCCTCAGGGCAACTAGTCCAGGTTACCCTTCTCGCCTGCCCTCCTCACCTCCCAATATAAGGCCCGTTGTTTTCCCTAGCAGGGAAGGGAGGGGGAAAGGGTATGAGTTGGGGGAGGTTGGGGTCATACAGCCTCCCTCTCACTGCCCCCTTCCCCTCAGGCACCTGTAATGTGGTGAGCCATGCCTGGCCGGCGTTCTGGACATCCTCGCCCGCCATCCTGCCCTGCGCGGCCAGGCCAGGCCTCCCCGTGGGAGCGGCCACCAGGTGTCTCTCCCAGAGAGGTCTGTCTCGAGGTGTATGGTGCAGCTACACCCCAAGTCAAGCCAAGCCGCCGGCCGGCCCAGCCGGCCACACCACGACGGGTCCGCCGGCCCAGCCCCAAAGACCCTGGTGCTCGAGAGTCAGAGAGCGTCACCTTCATCTCTGGCTCGGCCGAGACCCCTCTGGACACCACAACCTGCTGCCTCCCCCGGCCATGGGTGTGGAACTTATGCAAGGCTGTATTCTGTTTCCGCCGCTGTCGGGCCTGCTATCAGCGCTGCGGGGGTTGTATGCGCAGCTGTGAGGCCTGCCTGCCCTCCCTGGGCCCTCCAGAGAGCTTTCCGGATGAGGGTTGGGGTAAGGAACACAACGGCGGCCCGCCCCCCAAGAGCCCAGCCATTGCCCCTCCCAGCCGGCGAGACAGAGAGAGGTCCAAGTCGCCCATCGGCAGCAGCTTCAGCTACCCCGACGTCAAGCTGAAGGGCATCCCCGTGTACCCGTATCGGGGTACACCAGCCTCCCCCCCAGACACAGACTCTTGTTACAAAGAGCCGCTGGTTGAGCAGCCGCCCCGAGACAGCCTGCCTGGGACCTTAGGCGGGAGCCTGCGGAGCTCAGAGGAGTATTACTCCTTCCACGAGTCGGACCTCGACCTCCCCGAACTGAGCGGTGGCTCCATGAGCAGCCGGGAGATCGATGTGCTCATCTTTAAGAAGCTGACGGAGCTATTCAGCATGCACCAGATCGACGAGCTGGCCAAGTGCACCTCGGACACGGTGTTCCTGGAGAAGACCAATAAGATCTCCGACCTCATCAGCAGCATCACGCAGGACTACCACCTGGATGAGCAGGACGCCGAGTGCCGCCTGGTCCGCGGCATCATCCGCATCAGCACCCGCAAGAGCCGCAGCCGCCCAACCACCGCCTCGGAGAGCCGCCTGAGCCGGGGCCCCGCCCCTGACAGCGGCACCGACACCATGTTGGCCTCGGTCCTCAGCCAGGACGGTACGTCCTTCCCTTCCCCCCCAGCTCCACCGGCCACCCCAGGCTCACTGCCCGGGTCCTTGTCCTTTCCAAGCCTGCTTCCGCCTTCTTAAAACGAGGCTGGACTAGCGGTCTCTGCTGACCCTTCCAGCCCTCTGTCCTGCAGCTCTTCAAAGCGCCATACTAGGACCTTGAGGAGATAAAGAAATGATCTGAGACGCCGATCTTGCCCTCCTAAAACTCAGTGTAGGAGGGGGAATGATCAGACGCAGATATACCCTAGACAAAGTGTTGTATCTTTAGTACATCAGGGAGATAGGGAGTGCTAGGAGATGAGGAAAAGGTTTCTACCAAAATCCAGGCATTGGAAAAGGCTTCCTGAGGGTGTGGGTATTTGAGGTGTCTGTACGTAATGGGCATATCTACATCAAAGGGAGAGAGGAACAGGAGGTGAGGACTCGGGGCCAGATACTAACACACGCTCTTGGTGGGCAGCAAATACCAGACAGTCTGAGTAGGTGGTAGCAGACTTTGAGCGGGGGGGGGCATTTGTATACCAGGCAAAAGAATTTGAACTTAGGTGGATGGAAGGCACGGAAAATCATTAAGCAGAAGAGTGATAGGATTTGATCTGTGCATAAGAGCATGGATTGAGAAAGGCAACAGAGCGAAGGCAGAAATGAGCTGGATTTATACACACATAGACAAGTACGGCAGCCAGAATAGTGTGCATTTTTGTAGTCCCTCTGCCCTGTTCCACCTCCAGCCAAAAGGGGCCTTTTCTCAGATTCTTCTCTCACTGGTATGTCTGTGTTTAGGGTTCATTTACAAAGCCCTACTATAGGAAGGATGTAAAGGCAAGTATTCTCCCCATTTGACAGATTAAGGCCCAAAGGGGTTATCTGACTTGACCAAGGTGATAGAGCTAACAATTGGCAGAGCCAGGTCTAGAACAACGGCTCCCCGCTCTGAACCCTAAGCTCTTTTTCTAGGATGTCGTTCTGTGCCTCTCTGCTTTCATCAGCTTGGTCTAGATCTGGCGGAGTTGGCCCAGGTTCCTGAGTGGCCCACATGGGTGGGAAGCCAGAGGCCCAGAGGTCCAGCCTGTAGCTGCATGAGAACATCCTTAGCAAAGGGTCATCCGCTTCTAGTGATGGGGCACAACTCTGCACCCCGCCCCTCAAGTGCCCACTCCACTTTGGGAGTCCTGATAATTGGACGGGTGCCTGACACAACGCCTAACATCATCTTCTCTGTAGTTCCCACCCCTCATTCCTGGTTCTGCTCTTGACAGTTCTAATCCCTCATCCCTAGTAGAGATGTTCTACTATGGGGACGGTTGTATTCTTCAGGATAAATATGCCCTGGGGCTTTCCCTGTCTGCCTTTAAGGGGGAAGACTGGGTAGGCCATAATCAAGCCTCATGGGGGGCTCTGGAGACCGAGACACCCTCTCGTTCCTTTTCTCAGAGCTGACTGTGCAGATCTCCCAGGAAACGACATCAGATGCCATCGCCCGGAAACTGAGGCCCTACGGAGCTCCAGGTCTGGATCCCCAGCACGAGCTTGGTGGGGAGGGAAGAGAGCTGTGCAGAGATCAGTCCCTTAAGGCTGGGGCCTGGCAGAGAGCCATGGAGTCTTGGGAGTCCAAAGACCAGGGTTTTAATGCCAGCTCTGCCCCCTACTACCCATATAACTTTGTCCAAGCCACAGCCTTTCTGGGCCTATTTCCTCATCTATAAAACGAGGGGATCAAACTACGTGACCCCTAAGGGCCTATCTGGCTCTGAGTCTATGATATTGGAGTTTCAGTTTCCTTTCTACAGCCAGGAGCTTAGATCGAGTGACCTCTTAACATCCTTCCTATCAGATAAATAGGATCTTAGGGGTGGGGAACACATCCAAATAGCAGCAGTGGGCCTGTCTGTAGGCCAGCGAGAAAATGATTTGAAGAGATGGGGCTTCCAGAGGATAGGCTGAGCCCTGCCTGCATTCATTCATTCATTCATCTTTTGAGAGAGGAGACAGGATTATCGGCTGTGACCCTATGAAGGAGGAAGATGGGCATTATTCCCATTTTGCAGATTGGGAAACTGAAGCCCAGAGGAGAAGCGAGGGTCAAATGGATGAGATCCCAGAGCTTCTTATTGCTTTGTTAGCCTGTATTCTGTGGCTCTCTAGGGGTAAATGGGGAGAAAGCCCCCCCCCGCCACCTGAATCTCACCTTCCCTCCCTGTCTCTTCTCCTTAGGTTATCCACCAAGCCACGACTCCTCCTTCCAGGGAACTGAGACAGACTCCTCAGGGGCACCCCTGCTCCAAGTGTACTGCTAGCCCCTACCCCAGCCCTTGGGGGCCTCCTGGGACTGCAGGCAGGACAGATGGGCCCCCACGAACAATTCTTCTTCCCCCTTCCAGTGGGCCACCTCCTAAGAAGTTCTGGGGATAGGACTCGCACCTAAAACCAGGCTGCAGGCTCCAGATGGTGATGCCTTTGGGTGTGTGACCACCCCCACCACCACCCTTCCACTGGTGCACCCACTGTTTACCCCTTTCCCCAGACCTCAGATTAATTTCCTGATACCGTGAAGCACTAGGTTTCAGAGTCTTTCTAGCTCTTCAGGGGAGGGATTTCCAGGGCCCTACAGACTCCAAGGGCTTTTTGCTTTCCTAGTGAATGGGTGGGTTTCATGCTTTCCTTCTGTCATCAAAGGGCTTCGTCATTACATGTTGGGATTCACTTGCCATTATTAACAAAGGGCTTCCTGGTTCTCCTTCAACTAGGAAGCCCTCCCCAGCCTTTCTGGGATTATGTGAGCACAGCCCTTCGCCTTTGCAAAGTTGTGCTAGAGATCCACTGGTTATTACTGGTTACTTACACTTCAGCTGGTTCCTCTCAACACGTGAAAGCCTGCATCTCATGTGATCAAGATGCTTGTATGATATTAATAAAGCTGTTGACCAAACTTGAGTCAAGTTAGTCTCCAGCCCCTCTGAGCTTCCCGGCAAAGGAGAGACAATTCAAGATCACCCACTTGCTCAAGGTCACACAGCTGGTGGGCCTGGAGCAGGAATCCGGCTTAGCCAACTCTTTACCCTACAGTCCTTCGGCTTGGGGGGAACACAAGGGAAAGGCAGAAAGACCACTGTGCAGCAGTGAAGCCTTGGACCCTGTGTCCACTCTGATGCCCAGGGTGGCAGAAAGCTCTCCTGGGAGCCAGGGGTTAGTTTCCTGTCTGGGCAGAGTAAGGTCACCTGAAGGAAATGCCTGTTCCAACGGCCTTAGGGAGATCTGGCCAGCACTTCCAGGGTCTGAGACCAGGGACCTGACCCACACTCTCAGCACCTTCCCATTCAGGGCAGCAAGTTCTTGGTATGAAATATCAGTCGGGAAGTGAACCTAGGCCCAACAGCAGACAAGTAGTGGGCTCGTGCCTCCCAGAGACAGCTCTGAAAAATAGTCCTGGCAAGTCTGCAACGGAACGTCCCTAGAGCTGACACATCTAGTCCCTTCCAGGGCCCCACCGCCCAGGCACGCTCCTGCCAAACCAGCCTAGCTAGGCAGCCGTGGCCTCCCCCCTCCTGCTGCCAGGCCGTTGGCCCCAGATACCTCGGGCACAGCCAAAGGCCTTGGCTCCCCGCAGGGGAACAAACAAGGGGCCGCAAAGCTGGACTTTACCCAGGGCCTCGGGGGCAGGAGCCCAGCTCAGCCCAGAGGAGCCGGGGCCGATGCCATCCAGGGTGCTTACCCTCTCGACACCCTGGGAGGCGTTAACAAAACACAAGAGGCCAGGGTCAAACGTTCCTTTACTTCTGTAACAGGCAGAGGGGATCACAAGCTGCTTTGTCCTCCCACCCTGGGGTCAGGGGTCCTGTGCCTGACCCTGCATTACAATCCTTCCTCCAGGGGAGAAGGTGTCCAAAGAGGTCAGGCAAGGGGGAGGAGGAGCACAGGATCCCAAGGGAAAGGCTGGGGGTGCGAAGGTGCTAGTTGAATTTGGCTTTGGAAAAGTCCATTTCTGGATGCTGCTCCATAAACCTAGGGAAGAAAGAGAGAGTGAGAGCCAAGAACAGGCCAGAGCTAGGAGACGAGGGTGAAGGATGGGGCTTCCCTGCCTCGACCTAGGAACAGCCCCGAGATGGGAAACTGAGGTGCCAACCCCAGCACCCTTCCCAAGGGTGGAGCAATGACTGCTGGTTGGCCCAGGACTGGCCTTGCCCTGGAGATGGCCCCGGGGGCGTGGGGGTGCTATAAAAGCATAAAGATGGCGGGCAGCAGCTGCCTTGGCACTGGGCCAGCACGGTCCTCCCCAGGTGCCCACATGGGCCCCGACGAACACTCACTTTTTCAGAATCTCCTGCTTCTTCTGTTCCTCCGAGGTCGGCAGGCCCATGGATTTCTGCCGCTGGTCATACATCATCTTCTCCACCATACTTCGGGTCTCGCTGTCGAGGTCGGACAGCTGGCACAGGAGGCAGGCGAGGAGATGGATAAGCACCCCCACCGTGAGCTACCCTCGGCCCAATGCCACCCCTGCCCAGACGCCCACTGCCTGGCTCACCTTAGAGTTCTCTGGATTAATCTTCTTGGTGTTGATCTCAGGGTCGCTGGAGACCAAGCGGCTCCACCACTCCATCTTGTTGATCTGGGAGAGCAGGGGGAAGAGATGGGTCATACACAGGAAGCAACTCTTGGGGTTCACACCCTAGAATCTCCCACAAGACAGCAAGCCTAGCCCTGAAGGGTTTGAGATTCCTCTCCAATCCTTACCCTCCTCCCCCCTTGGACCTCCCTAGCCTCCCCCCTGCCTCCTCAGCTTCCCTAGGTTAACCCCCAAACATCCTCCTGCTTCCTTAGCCTCTCAGATTCCCCCCAAACCTCCCCCTGCCTCCTCGGCTTCCCTAATGCCCACCATGGGTGACAGACAGTTGCTACGGCCCCACCTTTTCCAGGTGCACCGTCACCACCTTGCCATCTTCAATGAGCCAGGAGCTCTCCTCCACCTTGACCTCATTGTAGAGCTCACCGACAATGAGTGGGGGCTGCCCCTTCAGCCCCACTAGCAGATGCCGCCGCTGAATGTCCACAACCACGTCCTTGCCCTTCAGCCGGAAGCTCACAGGGAAGGGTATGGCCACCTGGGGATGGGACGTGACAGGAGGTGAGGCCTCTTTGCTGAAAGGGGCCCTCCTCCACATGCCCATCTCCCTGACCACTCACATCCAACTCGGACAGGGTCTGTGTCCACCGGTAGTGGGGGGAGGTCAGCTCCATTGCCTGCATTAGGTCTCAGTTTCCCTTTGTCCTTTTCATCCTCCTCCTCCTCCTCGTCATCATCAGCCTCCTGCTCAGAACCAGAGGTCAGACTCCTGGCTCTCCTGCTCACCTCCCCCCCCCACCTCTACCCATCCCCATGGGACACCCTCGTGGAAAGAGCCAGCCTGGTCTGTGCAATGCCACGGGGCTAGAGATGAACGAGGAACACCATGATGTGGCCTCGCAGGGCAGAAGAGTCCAGAGTTGGCCACGTCCAGAAGGCAGAGCTCAGAGATGGGCCAGGATGGCATTCACCTCCTTCATCAGGGACTGGCCATCTTATCTGGTGTGTATGCCCTCCCCAATGCAGACTGAGGCATGGGAGGCCTGCCCTGGGGTTCTGACACCAACCCAGCCTCTGTACTTCCTGGAGATCATCCCTAGGAGAGGCGCTGCTTGGCAGCCCACCTCCGTACGAGGAAGGCCCACCGTGATAGGACTACCTTCCACTGGTTCATGATACAGAAACTTCTAGGGGAGGACACTTTCTACCACTGCAGGTCAACTTGCCTAGAACCCTGAGAGGTGTGCCCGGGGTCACACCCAGCCGGGGTCAGAAGGAGAACCTGAACCCAGCTCTCCATCCACTATGCCAGCTGCCTCCCACAGAAGACATTTACAATTTAAAAAGTGCCTTTAAATCAACTATATTCATTTCATCATGACAGATCTGGGAAACAGATGGGGTAGGAATTATCCCTATTTTACAGATGAGAAAATTAAGGCCTTGAGAGAGAAAATGACTTGCCTAATATGTTCCTGGCAAAGAACTAGAATCTAGAATGGCTGAGGTCTGGCTCTTTCCAGTGCATTAGGAAAGGGGCAGTGAGAGAAATAAACCGAAAATAGAGCCCTCAGGGGAGGGGGCAGTGAATATGCTGGCCATCCAATGCCTGGCCTGATTCTTCACCTGTTTCACTGCTGAGCTGGAGGAGTTGTTCGAGGGCTGAGCTGGTCCATCCCCCTTCTGATTGTTTTCCTCGCCCTTCCTCTATGGAAAAAAAACAAGCATCATGTGCCCAGCTGCCCTGGCCTGGCTGCCCACACACGCCACACCATCAGGCTCTGGGCCTCGGCCTCACCCGGTCAATCTCCAGCTGGAGCCTCTCAGCCTCCTCGTCTGTCAGCTCCTTGATCTGGGGCCCAGAGGCCTCCTGCTGGGTCTCACGGGCCAGTCGAGCCGCTCGCTCAGCTTTTTCTCGCCGCTCAGCTTCCTGCCTTGCCTGCTTCTCTCGACGCCCCTTCTGGGCCAACTGGTTGTGGTGGCGGAATGTCTCACTGATGAGCTGGAGGAGAAAAGATAGAGCGATGCCTGCAAACAGCTGAGATGGGAGAGACTCGAGCTTTCCCCCTCCTCTGCATCCTCCTGCACCACTGCCCTGGTACCTCGGGAAGAGCCAATCCAACCCTACTATCCAAGGCCCAGCTCAAAGCCCAGAAAGCCTTCCCTGCTCATCCCAGCCCTTAGCCATCTTGTACTGGACACAGCCTAAAGCTTATAACCAGAAAACACAGAATGTCAGGGGTGGGAGGGACCTCAGAACACAAGATGTCAGAGTCTGGGGGGGCCTTACAACACAGAGTGTCAGAGCCTGGGGGGCCCTTAGAACATAGAATGTCAGGGTTGAGGGGGCCTTAGAACACACAACGACAGAACTCATCCAAGTCCAACCTCTTTGCTTTACAAACAAAGTAATCTGTCCCAGAATTGATGAAGTCAGGGTTTGAGAAGGCTGCTCAAGCGCTTCCCATCACCTTTTCTTCCTACTCTCCCTCTTAATGTGGGGAAGTTTCAACAACTCTATTAGGCCACAGAGGACACCCTGTCCAATATCTAATCACAACCACAATTGTTCCCTTCTACAGAAAGCTTGAGACAGAGAATGAAGAGCAGGCTGTCCCCAGTGAGATACAAATGGCGGAGCTTCTGGTTGGGAGCCAGCCCCTCAGTACTCTGAGTCTCATCACATGGTTCTCCTGAGGGGCTCCCGTTTCTAATGGCTTCTGGGGATGGAGAATCCCATGGAATCATATCCATGTTGGGGACACTGGTGAGACGGTTTCGTATGGGGGACACAAAGTTGTACTAAGTGACCCCAGCAAAGTCACAGGCAAACATCTCATGGGTTAGGTGAAGCCCAAGCCCACAGCACTGCCAGCTCCTCACCTCCATATCAGCAAACCCCACGGGTTTTCCTGAAAACTTTCCCTCTCAGGCTGAAAGGAGAGAGCAGAGAGAACGGCTCCCTCGCTTCCAAGGCAAAGCACTCCTGCTTGGGATCCCATCCCCTGAACAGCAAAGAGGGCTGCCCTTTCTTCCGCCACCCTGGACACAGTGAAGCTAAAAGTCATCTTTCTTCAAATCACAGCTCAGTGAGATGGGATGGGGAAGAGGGGGAAGGATGTTCAGGTGGAAGCAACAGCTATGAATGCAATGACAAGGGCTTGGCAGCAAGCAGGTGTGGGTCAAGGCCCAGCTCAGCCACTAAGTGGCCACATAACCTTAGTTGAACAACTTCCCCTTTGTGGGTCTCACTTTTCTGTAAAATGAGGGCACTGAGGGACGGGAGTTCTAAGGTTCCATCCTTCTCTTCTACAATCTAGCTCCATCAGACTCAGTGCTGAGTGAGGTCCTGTCCAGCTGCACAGGTCTA